CCCCCCCCCCTCCCCCCGACCACTGGAAGATTCGCCGTAGTTGGCTTTCTGGAGATGGTGGAAAGGCCTCCTGTGAATTTAACGATCAAGGCGGACTCGAAAACCTTTGTTGACAACTCCCCCAACTGTTGGGTTATTATCCCAAGAGGGTTTATACGAGCATCCAGAAACTGCTGGGCGAAATATTTTGATTATCGTTTTGGTGTACCGTGTTACATCAAGTTTTTAACAGCGAGTTGTAATGGCACTAGGCACTGAATTTCTGACGACGAGATATTATTTTAGTTTTATTATGCGGGGTGGGGGGATGTTGGGGAGAGTTTGGAGGGTTCATTAACATTTTCTGCGGCAACATGATTTTTTAAAATTGAGGATATTCTATTTTTTTGAAAATTTTTTTTCAGAATTTTTAGAATTTTTGTTTTTGGAATACAATTGATTTTTGAATTGTAAAATTTTAGGAGTGAAAATTTATTCTTCTGATGTTTTGAATGTAATGATCGAAATTTCCAAAAAATTGAAATTTACAATTATTTCATTAATTTTCTTTAAAATGTGGACAGAATTATTATTTTTTAAATATTCGTTGTTCCTAAATAAATAACTTAAATTGTTTAAACTTTTAGAAAACTAATTTATTAGGCATGAAATCACTTTCTGGTAAAATTCTGAATATTAATAAATTATTTACGATTCCGAACAAATTATTTATATAGCGGAAAATTGATTGTTTATAAATTATTCATAAAAAAATGCTGGTAATTTTCAAAAATTGCATTTTTCTTATTATTTATCAATTTTTCAGATTCTTAAAATGCTTTCTATTTCTTAAATAATAAAACCATTGTAAAATGTCCGAAAACTGTGGGTTAAAGGAGCTCGACTGAAAGCTTTGATGTTCGACTACAAAAATAGAAAAGTATTTCACCAGAGAAAAAAATAGCCAAAGTAATTGAATAATGTTATGAATATCAGCATTTTTTTATGATTCCGAAAAAACTCCATTTTGCCCATAAAACCAATCTTTAAATCTTATTCATGAAATAATTGTCATTCTCCAATGATTTCACGAACGATTTTCACTAACGGTTGAAAACGCAATAAAATAATTGCAAAATGATCGTTCCCTCGAGTTCAACTGCAGACCGCATCCCCAGTAATTCCCCCGACAGCAAAAAAATAACCATTATAACTGTTTAATTGCAGATTGAGGACGAGGGAAATCACGGTAACGATGACACCAGATGCTTCATACTGTCGACACTGGCCGCACTCCAGTGGTCGAGAGTATCGTGTGTATTGTGCCGAGCGGCGATGCTAGTCTTCGACAGGTATCCACTGGTGGATGGTACCTTTTTCCTGTCGCCGCGGCAACACTCACACTCCTGCGCCGAGGTAACATTAAATTCCCATTAAAATCAAGCGCCGAGCTCCTCTCATGACTGATACCATTAACGTTTTTTCCCCTTTTTTCCCTGGGTTCTAGGTGAAGGTCGAAGGTCGCACGCAATTTTTATCGGCAGTCTGCATGAGCTGCTTGGAGGGCAGTGGATCGTCACCAGTGCGCTGCCGCACCTGCACACAGCCGTGGGACGGATCGAGTCTTGTGTTGGGGACTATGTACAGTTACGATATATTCGCTGCCATGCCGTGCTGCACTGAACGTCTTAAGGTAGGTGATTGGGGGAAAGGTCATCAGGAAATATTCATCATCATGTTGATGAGTTATTCGTTAATAAGTGTTCAGAGTCATTTTCTCGAAATTAATCTTCAAATTAGAACTGTTCCAGTGAAATTCATTCGTCCATTCAATTGATTATTTGACAATTGACTATTGTCTAATATTATACCCCTCACTATGCACTCCAACATCCCTAAAGTATTATAATATTTTTATGTTGCAGTGCAACAGCTGCCAGAAACCGCTAATATACCCCCACCAGCGATTGAATTTTTACTCCGACTACAGTCGTGTATTTGCGTGCCCGCATTGTCGCACAGTTGACGCACACTTTGTTAAACCACTGTCAGCATGTTTCACACGTGAACAATTTCAATTGTACAGCCAGTGGCCGTAACCACTAGAGAAACTAGGTGGTTGCCGGTGTAATAGAATCAACGAAATCAGTGACGATGATGAATGTTTTATTAAATTAGCTGAAATTCTAGCGCCCGGATTATTATCTATTGATAAAAGTCATGTTACGCCAAGTTGCAGTCGCTACGAGCGTACGAGTCAAATTGCTCGTCGTTAATTTTTACCCCCCTCGGGAATTCATTTCTTCGCGTAAAATTCTGGTACACAAATACGACGGAGTTTGAATTTTTAGGATGATTACGTGCTCTCGGGGGGATTTACTCCGGGTCAATTATCCTCTCAGGGGCGACAGAGTCCTCGAGGATGCCTCAGAACGTCTGCTATTACCTCACGGATTATATCGATTCGATAGTAAAAACACTGCCTTGCCTCATCTCGTTTTAAAAATCATTGAAAAATGTGCTCACAAGTCAGAATGAATTGTTCATCACCTTTTGATACACCTCGGGGGCACGTATCCATGCTAAAGCAATTTTTTTTTCATCTTCAGTTAATCCCAATCCCAGTGAATGACAAAGTCACAATGAAGCACACGCCCTTTTACATGTATTAGTCCAATTATGCATACTGATTGAACACCTAAAAATAGTGTAAGTAAAAACATTGAAAAGCAAAAAAAAAACGATATTGAATCAACTTAATTTACATTTGTATGAGAAAAAGAAAATGATGAAACACTTTTGTTAGGGGGAAAGAAATACTATTGTTTGTTATTTAGATAATCGATAAACATTGTTTTCTTTTTTAACATTTTATTAGTTTAATGATAATGAAGGATGGGAAAAAATAATATTGTCTAGGCGGCCATGTTGTTTTGTTTGAGGTTGCGACAGTTTGTCGTAGGTTTCGTCCTTGAAAATTGAAATTAGATTTCTCTCTTTTTTTTTCTCGCTATTTGAGACTAATTTTCCTTCGACTCCGCGCTATCTCGACGGCTCCAGGGGCTTTATGAAGATCGGGGCATTTTTTTTCTGCGGAAATTTACGGATGTGTCTGGGTGCAGGGCTTATAGAAAAAATTTCTCTCTTTGTTGGGGGCGGAGGGAAGAGCATTACACTCTGCCAATAGAGCTGTGAAACTCAATGCCACTCGGAACAGCGCGGAGAGGAGAAATATAAACACCCAGGCATATGCAATACGTGGTATTACATATATAGAAATGGAGAGGACTCGAGTATCTCGAGAATTCACGCAGTTTCCTTTCAGTTTTCACATTTTTTTCATTTATCTCGCTGTTTCGTTCCTTTCGTTCGTTTTCTAGCGATGCTGGTCGTTGCTGCATACACCCAATAGCGGCCGTCCCCCCTGAGTACTAAAGTTAATGACTGCATGTGCGTGGTTTTTATTCTCAACGGCTCCGAGGTAGGATTTTTTTCTCGATCGTCCAGGGCTTTCGCTCCTCGGCTTTATTATTATTCAGTTTTGGATGCGGCGGGACCACTGGGGAAATATCGGGAGGAATGGCCGGGTGTCGGGGCTAATGTGGAAATTAGGCTGGGCGGAGGTTTTCTGGTTAATAGGTTCGTTGCGGGGGATTTCTTGTGGAGATTTTTACATGTTGCATTATTTTACGGGTTTAATTATCATGTGAGCGAATGGTTCTACAGGAAAATGTCAGGTTTCCGGAATTCTTCTAATTACTTTTTATGAAGCAGTCAATCATCTCACTAATGAGGAACTTTAGGGGGATGTCGAAAGAGATTTTTTTCGGGAATTGCATTTGTTGAAACACAAGTTTTTTTATATTTTGCATCTTTGTTCTTTTCAAGAATTTTTATGATTACTGATGAATCATTTCGCTGAAATTTATTGGAAAACATTTTTTGTTGGGCGGTTTAGCGTCTGCAAACAATCGACTGACATTTCCCTTTAAAATTACTTATGAATTCAATTTCTTCATTATTTTAATAATGTTTTCCATCTGTCGTAAAAGAAATTCAAAATACATTTTTTATTGGAAATTTCATTATTTTGAAAACAAGATCTCCTGACATTCTGCAGCATCAAACAATCTTATTAAAAAAAATTACAGAAAAACGTCAAATGTAATTTTTATTAAAAATCTCATTATCACCGGAAAAATCACTTGACATTTCCCTCAAAAATCACTCGTTCAAAAATTTAAATTCTTCATTTTTCCAATTAATTCTCCATTAAATCGTTAAATATTATCTCAAGCGTTATTTTTCATTCAAAATATACTACAAAATCTCCACCAAAGTCTCCACTTCCTCTTGAAATCACTCACAATTACGCAAAAAAATCGTAAACCTTCACCTCATTACTATTTTCCAAACTCGAACGCCCCGGCCTTTCCCCTCGTCTCTCCCCCGCTCACCCCCTTAATAGTGAATTGGATTTTTTTTGCAATCGCGTCACTGAGTTATCCATTTTCTCACAGTGCCAAATACCTTTAGGTTTCTCACAATTTATCATTATTCTTTCGACAATTGACTCCCCCCCGCATTAACGTTCGCCTCATTTTGCGGCGTAGCTGTCGCGACAATATTTCTAAGCATATGCGTTCTACCAATTGTAAAAAAATCGAAATTACTTGAAGACGCGGTAATCGAGGATAATTACACTCCCTACCCGTTTTCAATTTGATCAGCCGACATTTCCGTCGAAATGTCAAAGTGTTTCGCCTGAATTTTGACTCAAATTCGTATGAAAAAATCCCTCGCGGTGACTCTTTGTTCTCGTATATTTTATTTCATTAATTAATATATTAATATATCCACAGCGCCTGGCGCAAAAAATTAAAAATCCTCTGACTTCGTCGTTCCTGTATTCTAGGAATAAACTAATGTTCTAGTGTAATATAATGAGCTAATCGTGTATAAAGAACGTTTACGTAAACGTTAAGGTTTTTACTAGGCAGGGATACATTTAATGTTAAGGCAAAACAATTGGGTACTCAGTCGTACTATTACAGTAATTGAAGCGATTTAAATAAATCGATTATTTAAAAACAAAAAATACATAAACGTTAAACATCTTTCATTCTAACGTATCGGTTTCGTCATTTTAATGTCCGTCATGCTTCGGATTAAAACGTAACACAAAATTTATTTCATTAGAGGTGCAGTGAAGTTCTTTCAATTTCAAATTCAGTGTCAGAGGGTCATGTAGATGATGGAAAATTCATTTTTTAATCTATTTTTCATTATTTACATGTCTATTCAGAGGAAAACTTGAGAAACTAAATTATTAAATTAATAGTGGAGTAGTACAATGGAAATTTTTCCCGAATTTATAATTAATCTCTTGAAAATTGAAGAAAATACCGAAATATTGTCAGAAATTTTGGTCCCAAGTGCATTATTCTGGCTGACTAAACACTATTTATTCACTCGCGGGTTTCAAATTGAGAATAAAACAGCATTTTCTATTTTATTTCGCTGTTTCCCCGAGTGGAAAATTCAAAATTTTGTTTTACAATTTCTAAATAATAAACTGCAGTTATTTTTTAACATTTTAACACTTTATTTCAAACGCTCTTCCATCAATCGGAAATAGAAATTTCGAATATAGTTTCCCTCACTCAAAAGTCTCGGACATTACATTATATTTTTATGTCTGAAGTACTCTAAAATGTAATTATTTTGCTGACATGCTCATCAATTATTTTAATTATCATTTCCCAAATCGAACTCTTCACATTTAACCCGCAAAATTCCACAAATTGAAACGAAAAATTACTCAAAGTAAAATGTTTTCTCGTTAGTAATTCATCACAATTGAAAGGACTTCACTGTAGAATAACGTTTCAATACGATAAACAGCATGCGGATACCGACGAAATGGGCGAGAGGAAAAAGTCTGTTCGAAAACGAAGAGCGTAGTAGCGGGGCTAAATAATCACCCTAAAACCCATCACGTAATTAAATTCGTGACGACATTTAGCCGTCCGACATCCACCGAAGTTTTTTTAAATCGGATGCTGGATAGAGTGTGTGTGAGAGAGAAAGAGCATGAGTCTCGCTGGCGCGAAAATCGTTCATCGGGAAAAAAAAGAAAAATCGAATGGAATGAAGCGACAAGAGGAACGATAGTCGCGCTGCGATTCTCTTCCTAAATAGATGATTCTGAAAATTAAAGATTAACGATTTAACGTATATACCTAGATAAAAATATATAGGGAATAGTCCTTTTTGTAACCGGTGAGCGTATATTTGCTGTAGCCAATAAGTTTTAACGATTAAAAGAAAAACTATCTAGAATTAGCGGAAAATCCCTTTTTTTACTCCGGTCACCAATAAGATTTTTGTACCTTTGCTATATAAACTCATATTATATTATATTAAACATATTATATAGAGTATATCGACGCGTGATGCAGGGGAAACATGAGTGCACATGAAAAGGAAAAAGACCCACCGAAATAATTGATCAATTAATTAATCAATCCGCTGAATTAATTAATTCGCCAGGATTTAATTGACGAAATAAGCCCCATCAAAAGCGCTATATTAATTCTCCATCGGCCTACACCCCCCCAGAGCCCCTCTCCATGTGCATTCGTTATTTCCAACGAGAATTGAATCGAGTGCAGATGACGAAAATGAGAAAAATATAAAAAAAAAGGTTTTGTATCGATGTTTTCTAGAGAAAAAGATTTATGGGTACGATATTCGCCGGCCGGTACCCCCTCCCCCCCCTAAGGATGACCCGACCCATCGAAACCCGAATATATCGCCTAAACTCTTGAACTGTGAAAATCTCTCCGACAATTTCAATGAATTTCTTTGCAGAAAATAACAATTGATTTCGTTGGAAAATCAAATGGGTCTAGACGCGGTGATCATCTGGTTTGTGGACAAAATAATAAATGAGAAAATGGTTATGAGTAGTTGATATATTGAATAGAGTTTAAAATTATTCATTACGATGAAAGGAAAAATTCTAGGTTTTTGTAGTCTTACCAAGAATAAAATGCATTTATCCCCAAATGAAAAAAAAAATGAAATGAAAAATGTTTTTAACCGGGTGTCTGGCAACACGTTTCAAATATTATAGTTAATTTTTCTTCCTTGTTTTTAATGATCATTCGTATATCTCGGGTTGATGGCTTTTGAAAAACAGAACACGAAGTCAACAATTTTTTAATAAATTTAAAAGAACTATAAACGGTAGATTATCTCAGGTGAATAGGATTTGTGGTGTTTTTTCATGACTGAAGTCGAATTGCTCGGATAGAGTTGTATTTGTAATTAAAATGGCTGTACCGGCAATAGAGCGTCACAATTATAATACATATTATAACGTAAATACGAGGGATTAATGAGGATTGCGATGATCCGTGCAACAATTGCCAATTGCGGATGGTTTTTTTTCTCGTAACGATAAGGTAGATTTAGGGGAACTATTGAAATTGAATAAACAATCTAGGATTTAAGGAATTTCTCAGCTGTGGTAGACAACTATAGGAGTTTAATCCGAGACTCGGCAAACACGATGAAACGTATACATATATTATTGCGATTAAAATTAGGTAGGTTTTTTGATGAAGAGATATTAATGATTAATCAGTGAATTGTCGATTTTAGGAGTTTGCCACGAGACGAGTGTGACACGAATTCTTCGTCCCTCCGATATAATCATTTTGCGTATCAGGCTCATTAATCTGTTGATAATCGGGAGAATTTTATCGATCACAATTGCATCCACGTCTCGTGGGGGGGATCGTTGGCTGTAGCCCCTAGTGTTGAAATATTAAAAATCCATGATTTCTCCCATCAACCGTGCACGTTTCACGGTACTTACGCTCATCCAATTAAGTTTTCACATATTTAACTTACCGTAATGAG